CGTCATTGGGTCCTATGGGGTATTTGTGGGGTTTTATGGGGTCTTATGGGGGCCTTTGAGTCTCTATGGGGTCCTATGGAATCTTATAGGGTTTGATACGGTTTTATGGGATTCTATGGTGTCCTATAAGGTCCGACGGGGATCTATGGGGTCTTAGAGGGTCCGGAAATTTCTCTGTGGGGTCTTTTGGGGTTCTATGGGGTCTTATGGGTTTCTGTGGGGTTTTATGGGGTCACTATGGAGTCTTGTGGGGTCCCTATGGGATTTATGGAGTTCTATGGGGTCCTATGGGTTCTTACGGGGTTTGATAGGGTTTTATGGGATTCTATAGGGTCGCTATGGGGTCTTATGGGATTTTGTGGGCTTTTGTGGGGTTTATGGGGTCCAATGGGGTTTTATGGGATTCTGTGGGGTCACTGCGGGGTCTTATGGGGTTTTATGGGGTCTTGTTGAGTTATGGGGTCCAGAAATTTCTCTATGGGGTCTAATGGGATTTTATGGGGTCACTACGGGGTTTTGTGGGGATCTATGGGGATCTTGTGGGGTCTTATGAGGTTCCATGGGGTCTTATGGGGTCTTATGGGATTCTATGGATCTTATGGGCGTTTATGGGGTCTTATGGGGTCCACAAACTTCTCTATGGGGTCTTATAGGGTCCTATGGGATTTATGGGGTTCTATCGGGTCCTATAGGGCTTTATGCAGTCCTTATGGGGTCCAGTGAAATCCTATGGGGTCCTTATGGGGTTGGGGGCCTCTATGGGGCCTTATGGGGTCCTGTGGGGCTCTATGAAGTCTTATGGGGTCTTATGGGATCTTGTGGGGTCACTATGGGGTCTTATGGGGTCTTGTGGGGTCCTATAGGGTCTTATGGGATCTTGTGGGGTCCTATGGGGCCAATGGGGCCTTATGGGGTTTTGTGGGGGCCTATGAAACTTTATGGGGTCTTATGGGGTTTGATAGGGTCTTATGGGGTCCTATGGGGTCTTATGGGATTCTATGGGTCTTATGGGGTTCCATGGGGTCTTATGGGGTCCAGAAACTTCTCTATGGGGTCTTATAGGGTCCTATGGGATTTATGGGGTCCTATGGGGTCCTATAGGGCTTTATCCAGTCCTTATGGGGTCCAGTGAGGTCCTATGGTGTCCTTATGGGGTTGGGGGCCTCTATGGGGCCTTTATGGGGTTTTATGGAGTCCTATGGGGCTCTATGAAGTCTTATGGGGTCTTATGGGATCTTGTGGGGTCACTATGGGGTCTTATGGGGTCTTGTGGGGTCCTATAGGGTCTTATGGGATCTTGTGGGGTCCTATGGGGCCAATGGGGCCTTATGGGGTTTTGTGGGGGCCTATGAGACTCTATGGGGTCTTATGGGGTTTGATAGGGTCTTATGGGGTCCTATGGGGTCTTATGGGATTCTATGGGTCTTATGGGCGTTTATGGGGTCTTATGTGGTCCACAAACTTCTCTATGGGGTCCTATAGGGTCCTATGGGATTTATGGGGTTCTATGGGGTCCTATAGGGCTTTATCGGGTCCTTATGGGGTCCAATGAGATCCTATGGGGTTCTTATGGGGTTGGGGGCCTCTATGGGGCCTTTATGGGGTTTTTATGGGGTCTTATGGGGTCCTATGGGGCTCTATGAAGTCTTATGGGGTCTTCTGGGATCTTGTGGGGTCACTATGGGGTCTTATGGGGTCTTGTGGGGTCCTATAGGGTCTTATGGGATCTTG